AGATGATAATGCTCAAATTCAGAGAGAGTTATTCAGTGTACCGAAGAAAAACAAAATGTCTATATGATTCAAGTTTTACCATCAACAAAATAGAGTATGTGAGTGCGAATGCATTCTACAACCTAGCCATATTTTGAATGATGTTAAAATTAGGAGTGGAACTTAGAGTTTTTTGTATATTGGGCAGTATCAACCAAAGTTTAGATGTGCATTGAATCATTTTAGCCTTATGATGCACACAATTGGTTTTGAAAATGATTGGAAATGTCTAGGCATGTTTCATACATAAAAAACTATGTTTTATGTGTGAACACTCTTGCACAAGCCAACACATAGAATTACAGGCCGACCTATAGAATTTGTTGCTTCAGTATATGCTGGCAAATAGAATTTCAGGTCAGCCTATACGCTGGTATAGGTCGGCACATAGAATTTCAGGTCGACCTATATGCTGCAGTATTAAAGCCTATAGGCTCTGTCCATACACTGACTGTTATAGGTCGGCCTATACGACTCATTTTTAAAGCTTGTTTTAGGTACTAACTGCACAGGTCGGCCTATACGATTTCAGTTCGGCCTGTACGCTACTATAGGCTAACCCGAGACCTTCATAGGTTGGCCTGAGTACCTTGATAGGCCAACCTATTTATTTAGCACGCCAACCTATACGATTTCACGTCTTAAAAATTTATTTTTTGCTCCAACTTATTGCATTCTTTTTCCTCATTTCTCCACATACCTATATATGATCATACATGCACCTTATTTTAGCAAGGTACTAGTGAATTACCTATACGAAACCAGATTACAAAGCATTCTCATCATCTTCAACCTCTCTTCTATGCATACACATAATTGATCTACATATAATCATTTTTCGATTGGGTGACCATCTAGATTAGGGTTAACAACGTCTAATTAGGTTTAGTGTAGCCGAGAGTATTGGGCTGGGATCTTTGTGTGTTTCAAATAAAAAAACCAAGGTGAGGTTTTCCTTCAAGATCGGTGCGATATGAAGGTTTTGGACAATATCACATCAACACGGATTCGGCCGAGTGAAGGCCTTGGGACAAGGTGGTTTCCTTGCAAGGGAGTAGTTTGAGACGGTGAGTCGTGTTCGGGAATCTTGGGTTCAACAAGTCCGTGCTCGGGATAATCGGAGGATTGTAACCGCATTGTTGGTGACTTGATCAAGCTTTGATCAAGGGTTTGGAGGTGGTTGAATCAACAACAAACAATAGGATTTGTGGGGTTAGAATTCTTCACCTCTTGTATAAATATTTTTGCAAAGATAAGGTTAATTGCAAGTATCTCAATTCGGTTTCGGATTGAGGGAAGATGTACCCATAGCGAGACCGATTGGGGAACTGCCTAAACAATCTTTGTGTCTTTGTATCGCTTTAATTTTCTTTAATTGTTGTTCTTTCAAATTATCGATTTCATTTTTGTTTCGATTAATTCAATTGAAAATTGTTTTCAACTTTATTTTAAATTGTTGTTGTTGATATAATCACAATCACTTTGATTGTAATTGGTTTTTTAAATCAACAAAATAAATCGAATTTCCAAACGTGATCAATTGCACATCATAAGCATTACGAATAACGCTACATATGATTGATCTGTGAATTAATTGTTGATTGAACAATTTGTGTTTATTAAGACTCCATCGGTTTCATTACGCATATTTGAACTTTTTGATAGTAGGTCTAATTAGACGATTTGATTCAGGTTGTTTTCATTGTGCCATTCTTTTTTAAAACAAGTTTTTGCCAAGATTTTTTTATTTTAAATTTGTGATTTATTCACTCCTCTCTACAACGAAGCCTATCGTCTAGCATTTACAAGCACACCAAAAAATATCATTATTTTTAGAAAGATTTTTTTTGTTGTTACGTGAAATCAAGAAATTGAATCATTCAATTTTCATATTCATTACTTAATTTATTGACTTTCATCCAACTACGATCCATAAGCACATACAACTTCTGAAAATAAAATAAAAATTATACACAACCAACAAAAATGACCAATATATCTCAATAAGACAATTATAACAATAAACAATAACTACGAATACCTGGAAAAACAACATTATATTATACTATAAGTCTCAAGAACAATATCACAACAACAACAACACCAACATCAACAACAACATCATTCCTAGTACAATTATGGAGAAAGTTTTACATACTTGAAATATGATGAGAGAGTTAAAGAAAAGTGTTGGTTTGAGGTTTAAGCTTCCTTTCACCTTGGAGAAGATGAAAAATGGTGTTTCAATTTTTTAGGTGGAGAAGATAAAGAATGGTGTTTCAATTTATTAGGTGGAGAATAATTGTGTTTCTTTCGTTTGCTAAGGCACAAAAAAGTTTATGAGACATAATAAAAAGTGAATGAGACTTAACATTCTAATGAATGAAAAAAATATTGTTTAGAGTTTACATCTCAGATTTTAGAAGAAGAAAAATGAAGAAACACAATTGAGGTAAAAGTTGGGTTTAATTTAATAAAATCAAATAATAATTAACACTTCATGTTGATTTTATAGAAAATTGAGGGATAAGATGATTTATAAAATAAGGGTGTCATTTTGTTTATAAATAAATTATAAAATTGTAGGAGGTGAGAATCTTGAAACTCAAATCCTGATCTATATTTTTTGTCAATTTTTCTACAAAATCGATGGGTAAGATTTGATTTTAAAAAAATAAAAATAAAAATAAAATAGTGCGTTATAAGTCATTTGACCCCGGTCTTTCATTGAGTGAGGTGAAAGATTTTTCATGAAATATATTATTTGTAGTAGTGTCATCTTGAATTCGATGGTTTACATCCCCTTATATTTATCCATCATTTTGTGCTACGAATCCAAGATATTTAAATTGTGTGACTTGTGAGATGATATGGTCTTTAACTTTCACCAATAATAGATTAGAAAAACATCTTCTTTTGTTTAACTTACATTCCATACAACATGACTTACTTCTGTTTAAGCGAAAACCATGTGTTTCTAAAACTGTCTCCAACATCTTATTTAAATCTTCTTTTGACTCTCCAATTAGAACTATATCATATGCAAAAAGCACGCATCTCGGTGCTAGCTTTTCAATGTGTTATGTAAGTACAACCAAAATTAAAGTAAAAAAGTAGTAGCTTAGGGTTGAACATTGATACAAATTTATTGTTATGAGGGAATCATTTGTCTCTCTATTAGGTATTCAAACACTAGCCGACACCCCTCCATATTGGATAACTCGAATATATGTAATCTTAACCTTTTCTTATTTAGGGATTTCCACAAAATATCTCTAGCCACTATATCATACGTCTTCTCCAAGTAAATGAAAATTAAGTGTAAATCTTGTTAGTCCACGCGATTATACTTATTTATCACACATTATAGTAAATAGATCGCTTAATGCATGGTCAATAACTTGAGTCACTTTTTTTTAGTCTCTATTTCATCACTCATTTCAAATAACAATTTAAAATTTTTTTAGACATAAATAAAATATCTCTTATAAGACAAAAGTATAATTTACTTTATATTTATTTTTCAAAAAAAAGGTGATTATATATATTACATTTTAATAGAAGTAAACCACCAAAACAATATCATGTTTGCTCTTCTCTTATGTGGCAGTACATAGTACAATAAAACATCACTATTATGAAACAATAATAAGCTTTAAGCATATAGGAGTACAAAACATCTTCTTAGGATCTTCTTCCCCATAACATAGTAATGTAGTACAATCATATAATGTGCAAGAAATGGTAAATTCGGTGTTAGCGTTTTCTTTTTTCTCCCATTCTCCACTATATCAAGGACCATCCATCCATCTAAAGTGGTAAAAAGCAAATGCTATTATGCAATTGTTTACCTTTAAATCAGAATCTGCCACAGAAACAAAAATCTCTTTCTATTATCACCTTTCAATTCAGCTTTCACTATTTGGCATTTTAACTTGTGCGAATCCATTATTAATTAATAATTACCTACTTGATTAAATATTGTATCAACTCAATACCTCTTACCGACCAACCATAACAATTTTTAATCCATTCAAGAAAAATATATTATTTAAAAGATCAACTTTTATGTATATTTATGTCAATCAATTTTGAAATAAGTTAAAATTTATATAAACAAAATTCAGACCTAATGTATGTCTATGTTTAACACTATTAAATTTGATTAGTTTAATGATCAAAATTTTTTTTTTTAAATAAACGAATTATCATTGATCACATTTATATAATTGAATGTTTCTGCATAATTATCAACTCAACGCAAAATTCTTGAAATCACCTCTACACATAGAACTTGCTCATTACCATTATATGTCCTCATTAATATTCCAATGCAAATGAGGGTGGCTTCATGCTACACCCTAATATTGCCAAGAATTTGGGTTGGATACATTTAATCCCTCAAACATAAATTATTAGTCATTACCTCTAGAAAAGACATTGTGGGAATCTCTTGATATTTTCTTTTTTGGCATCCAAAAGAAAATTAGATCACTAGAGGACTATCTAGACAGGAGAGATCCACAAAAAATTTACAACAAAATATAAATTTGAATAAATTCTAAAAATTATGAGGCACTGACAACTCACCTTGCAGTCACATGTTTCAGTGTTGTATTAATGATAGACACTGACACATGTTAGACACTAGACACTGAACATGCTTAACATATTGAGTGAACATGCTTAACATATTGAGTGAAATGACATAATTTTCTAGCCTCAAAGTTTATCTAGGAATCAAACAAATGTAGCTTGTGCTAACTTGTGTGAGATTAGAGAATCCATTCATGAACATAACTTAATAAGGTTTATTCTTTTTCAGATGTTTATTCTTCTATATGTCCAAACAATCCAATCTGGTATAAATACATCTCCTCTCAATCTCAAATTTCCACAAACCAACTCAACAAAAATTTCCATAGTCTCTCTATCAACTAACCAAATCACATCATATAGAAATGGATTTGTTAGCATCATTAACTGAGAACAAACCAGTGGTGATCTTCAGCAAAAGCACTAGTGTCATGAGTCACACAGTGAAAGCACTTATAAGAAGTTTTGGAGCCAACCCTGTAGTTGTTGAGATTGATAAAATGGCAAATGGATATCAAATAGAGAGAGCACTGATTCAGCTTGGTTGTAGACCAAGTGTGCCAGCGGTTTTCATAGGACAACAATTCATAGGTGGTACTGATGAAGTTATAAGCCTCAATGTTCAAAACAAACTTGCTCCATTGCTTTTAAACGCTGGCGCTATTTTCATTTGGTAGTTTATAGATAAGAGGTTTTGTTTGTTTTGTCCCTATCTTTGGATCAAAGTTGATGATATACTAGTACTATTATACTGAGGTGATTTGGTATAGAGCTTCTTTTTCTTGCTATGTTTGAACTTTTCTTTCTTCTTTGTTTTCCCTTTTGAGAAGAAGAACCTTAGTTTCTTTTGTTGTATATATATAATGTAATGATTTTCCTACTTGTGTATTAAAAGATAAGTATAATCTATTTTGAGTTCTGCGGCTACTATGTGAGATCATTTAATTTAGTTGAAGTTTATCAAAAGTCAGTAATAATAATATGAGAATTTATCAAATTCTGTCCTAAAGAATCAATAATTGGCAAACATCAACGCCCAAGTAACTTAACTCTAACATGGACAATGACAAATCATCACTAAACAAAAGTATATATGCATTGGTTAGTAATATGATTGATGTCGAGTGCCATCCAATTTTGGCCAATCACATAAGAAGGTTTAAGATATATGTGTACCAACAATAAATTGCTACAAGTAAGGTATTTGGACTCTCTCTCTCTCTCTCTCTCTCTCTCTCTCTCTCAAAAAAAAAAAAATAATAATAATAATAATAATAATTTATAAAAAAAAAATTATAAAAACAATTTATATTCAAAAAAATAATTTATAAAAAAAATTATAAAAACAATTTATATTATAGGCCGATATTAAGAAGCATAAAAGATATATGACACAATTATCAAGAGATATAGGGTAAGAAACATCATACTAGAGATTATCGTAATTTGACCTTAAGTCATGCAATTTACTCTAGTTCCAAAGAGTTTCCTTTTGAGATTTTTAAGAAAACAATAACTTGAGATTTTAAACACGATCATCCCAACAACCTTAAAATTTTGAGCTTTTGTGCAGGATCAGTCCAACAACCATTGCTTCAAAAAGTATATTTCACCATAGTTGGAGTAATGATTTCACCGGAGTGATGGTCCGTGATAACGAAGAGTGTGATAGTAAGTGAACTAATTTTTACCACGAGCTATTGATCATGGCAATAATTTGGATAACGTGTTACTTTTTACCACGATTGGAATATCCAACCGTAGTAAAAGGTGCAGAGGTCATAGGTTCGCACCAACACCATTTTAACGTTTTTACTTTTTACCATAGCTGAAAGAACTAATCATTGTGATATATATATATATATATATATATATATATATATATATATATATATATATATATATATATATATATATATATATATATATATATATATATATATATATATATATATATATATATATAATATAAATTCTACATAAACTCATTATTATAATCTATATTTTTGTGAATTATAATAGATATGTACATTAACAATAAATTTGCGAATCAAAATCAAAATGGCAATTATTCTTAACCAAAAATATGTATTATTACATAAAAATTAAAATGACGTCAAAATAGTCAGCATGAGATGGAGGAGAGGAAAAGAACGGGACTAGAACAAGACGATTCCGAGTACTACGACCATTAGTGGAATGACTACATACTACATAAACAACTTACAAGAGGACATCAGCAGAAAAGAGGTTGGGAGAGGTTTCAGTAGGTGGAAGGGAGTGGTAGATGTGTATGTTGCAAAAATAAATAAACAAGACAGGAAAAGAATTTAAGAATTTGTTAGATATGAGGGAATTTTAGACAAAACATGGTTAGAGAAGAACGTACAAGACATATAGTTTGGATCCTATAAGAATTTGGTCAATATTTCTAGATTTATAAGACACGAGAAAAGAAAAACAATGATTGACAATAATAATATGAAAAGGCAAGGGTCGAGAATGCTCAGATGTCAGAAAGAGCAAGGAAGTGGAGGAACCAAAATCAAACAAAGGTTTAAGAGGACATTCGACATAAGAAGAGAAGGAAAATCATATGAAGACTCTATTAAAAATATCTCAACACCTCAAAACATGGGTGATCGGGATGAATGAAGGCAGAAGGAACTTAAATAAAATCAAAAGGGGTATCACAAGAAGGAGTATAAATATCAATAACAATAAGGGAGGAAGAAACGGGTTGGGCAAAGAAAGGCTTTATTGGGTGCGTACACAATATTGATGATATAACAGAGTATCAACAAATAATGAAAGATGAAGGTATTGTCATTATAAAAGTCATACCAATTAAGGGTGAATAGGTTTGCTTAAATATAGACAAGGAAAAGACTTCAGAAAGCTAGTGAAGGAATCTAATGAGTTCTTCAATAAACATTTGGTGTCATACCTACGAAATGCCTATCCACGCATGGAGAAAGATTTTTTTTTTCTAAATTGGAAACATCTTTATGAAGGTTCATCAAGACCGATTATGTAATCAAAAGTATGCAACAATTTTATGTAGCTTGGATTTTCGTTCGTACACCAATTATGGAGTTCATCAACAAGATAAAAAATCCAGATTAACCAATAAATCATGAACATTAGAGTAATAGAAGAAACATGTGATTGTAGGTTTGAAGATAAAGATCGAGAGATATGGGAAGGTACATAGGAAGATGAAAGAGAATACACAGATGACTCAAATGATTCTTTCATCCATCCATCCATCGATTGTATCCATGGAAGACAATGAGTCAAGGAAGAGGATAAGATAATAATTGGTAGTTATTGAAGGAAGAGAATAGTTCAAAAGTTGAAAAAGGTGGGGAGCTTGAGAGATAGAAGCATATCAAAAAGGAAATAGATTGAGGAAACATAAACGACATCCTTTTTTACTAGAGAGAGAGAGAGAGAGAGAGAGAGAGAGAGAGAGAGAGAGAGAGAGAGAGAGAGAGAAGCAATTGGAAAATGAATCAACCTTTAATAAGGAAGAGGTGAGAAACGTACAAAGTAGTAAAATATCAAACAACTCTTGTCAAAATGGTAAACCTGAACCAATGAGTACGCAAAGTATTCTAGAGTTAAATATGGGCCCATACAAACAAAAAAGCCTAGAAGAAAGAAACAAAGAAAAAAAGGTGGGTCAAAATGTCATGGGTTGCATCATAGAAACTGAAATAAATATTGAGAATGTCATAACATATAAAGAGAAGGATTAAAATGAAAATATTACAATAGAGACACTCAATGACTAAGCATAAATTGAGGAAGGTGAAACATCGATTAAAGAAAATGCAAGGAGCATAGATGCAACAATAAAAAATCTTTGAGATCCATTTCCAACGGTCGATGAAATCAAATATATGGAATCATTTAGGATTAAAAAAAGGCAAGCATACAAGGATAAGATAAAAATAAGATAGGTTATTGATAGGCTTAAAATATACTGTTTATTTGAATCGATTTGCACACGTTATTTAGGATTTTATTTCTGTTTTCTTGTATTATGCCTTTGTTTTGTTTCTTTTTCAGGTTTTTGTATTTTCAAGGCTACTCGAGAAGAAATGAAGAAAAAACGAGCTAAAAACCTACTTTCCGAGGAATTGTACACATGGCTTCCACCATGGCAGGCGCCATAGGGGATGCAAGACATTGGATAGAAGCCAACTGCTGACAACTGCTACGTCTCCCACTCCTTTCCACCCTAGTTCATGTGGCGGGAGCCACCTTCACACGGCCATTTCTCTCCCAAAAGGAGTTGGGGGCATTCCTGTCTTTACCTGTACTTTCCTACCACTATAAATAGAAGAGTTCTATTTCATTTCAAATTATCCAAGCTTAGAGAACACAACTCAGACCATAAATTTCACCTATTGTAAAGTGATAAACTTCTCACATCAAGGGGTTATCACACTGTGTTATCGAGTTTGGAGCACTTTGGTAGAAGTTAAACCTGCAGCCATTTTAATTCAGTTTTTTTACTTCCATTTGTTCAAGATTTTAGAACAGGTTTTTGTCTATTTATTGCCTTTTATTTATTTACCCGCCTTTATTTTCCGCACCCTTTATTTCTCGCACCCTTTATTTCTCGCACCGCACTTTATTTGTTTACTTACCTGCACTTTATTTACTCACATTTGTTTACCATGTCCGGCTAAATCTTAAGGGCTAGGATGCGAGGATTATAGTTATAATTAGTATTCCACACCGTTGTCGGTAGAATTAATTAGGGGTTGTTTTAACTTTTAACACTTATTTTCTGTACTTAAAATCTGTTGGATAAGATCGAAATCCGTCCAACCTTTAGATGAATTTGGTTAGTTTTGACTGTTCCAAGGAAGCGAAAGCGCTTGGGTCAGTCAATTAGGGATCTTTAATGTTTAAGAAAACCGATTTTAAAACTGTTTTCGGACGCGTTTATGGATTTAAAGTCCGGTTCGCAAGAACTTCTTTTTGTTAGAAATTCTAGGTTAAAATACTTTTCGACTAAGTCAAGAAACTTTATTTCTTAAAAATAGGTTTATTAATCCCAACGCAATGTGCACCTTTTAATAAGTGACAATAAGAGGGGTCGATTAGGGATAAACTCGGTTCTGAATATGCAAAAGCGACAGTTCCTGTTAAATTAGTTCTTTTCATGAGTAGAAAATATTACCCCATAAGGAATCCTATATGTACACATCTGGAATACTACGTAGCTATATGAATTGCATCTATGCATGTTGCTTTATTATTGAATTTATTTTCGCACTTTACTTTTATTTCGCACAACCCAATCCTTTATTTGATTTTCCTTAGATAAACACTGTAACAATAGTAATCGATAGATTGACGTTTGGTCTCAGTGGGATCGATAATCTTTTATATTACTTTGACGCTATTCGTGCACTTGTGAATCGCCCATCAAGTTTTTGGCGCCATTGCCGGGGACCAATTACGTCAAAATTTCGTACCCTATTGTTACACCGTCTAGACTAAGGCTATAACCACCGGTCAATGCGAAGAACTCGCAGCACCGGTACCCTTATAGATCCTTTAGAGGAACCTAAACGTTACACTCGCGCTCGTATCTTATTTCGTAGAATCAAGAGAGTTATGGATGCAGACCGTAACCAAAGACCCCTTAAGGATTTCG